CGCCTCCTCCTCCTCCTCCCACTCCTCCGCCTCCTCCTCCTCCTCCTCCCTCCTACTCCTCCTCCTGCCTCCGCCTCCGCCTCCTCCTCCTCCTCCTCCTCCTCCTCCTCCTCCTCCTCCTCCTCCTCCTCCACCCCCCCTTGGTCGACCCTCGGGCTTCGGCACTTTTTTTTCTGGCGCTCGAAAGTCTATCTGGCGGTCAAGACGAATGTCGGTTGGAACATCATAAAGCTAGGTAGAGGGCAAAACATCCACCCCCATAGTAACCACTCCGACACGCAAGGCCTTTTAGTAAACGCGCCCAGAGAAAGAATCGAACAGGACAAGGCTGTTTAGTACGCGCCCAGGGCCGTTGAATACACGCCGATTGTCTGGTCCGTGTGGTTTTTCTTCCCTTGACTAGGGGAGCGAATAATGACATAGACATAAACATAAAAACTCGGAGGTCCGCGCGGATCTCTCGGATCGGCGCTGGGGCCCCCTGGCGGCGCCTCCGGCGCCGCCACTGGCGCGCTCCGCGCGCCAGGGGGTGGAGTCCAGCGCGGATCCACGGAGTCTGCGCGGACCTCCGAGTTTGTATGTTTATGTCATTTTTCGTTCCCCTAAACAAAGACTGGTGTCGGTCTCCATCCCCGTTCTTTCCGCAGCCGTTTTCGATCGCACTGGTCCTCGATCCTCCCTCCGGGGCGAGAAAAACTTGTCCTGGGAGCCACTGCGTAGTCGGCCGGGTCGATGCCGTGGTCGGCAAAGCCGACGATGCGGGCTAGCGCACCGATGCCCAACTCGCGGGCCCTGTCAGCACCTCCACTCTCTGGAGCCACGGCAGGATCAATCAGCATTCAACCAGGGCACAGCATCGGATCTCATAAGTGCGTCGGATGCGGGCTGCATCGGCACAGGGTCGAAATCGGATCGGATGCGCCAGGAAGGCAGAACAGCACCGCGCAAACATCGAGCCGCATCGGATCGCAGGAATATCGTGAACGAATCGGATTTGGCCAGCCGAAACCGATAGCGAACAGAATCGGTCATATAGAAATGAACCCTGCCCGGGGGGTCGTCGTCGCCGTCGCCGTGACCGTCGGGGGCACTTGCCAGGGAAGCGCGGGGGAAGCGCAGCAGTCTTTGTCGCAAAAGTGGAGCAGCCCATATGGAAGGGGTGCCAAGGAGAGCGGGGGTGAGCAAGAGGTGGTGTCAGGTCGGGCATGTTCGGCCGGACGGAGGAGGACGAGGAGGGACAGACGGAGAGGGAGGACGAAGGGGAGAGGGAAGGGCATCGTGCCGAGCTCGGCTCGGACTGGGCATCTTCTTAGGGCCGAGGGCTCAGAGTGTAATCCATGTGGGCTTCTGCACCTCGAATATCAACCCGTTCTGTTGCTCGCTTTTTGCAGATTCAAGCATCGAAAACCCACCGAAACGGCATTTCAGATTTCACCTTTTGCTCTCCACCCAAAGAAAATGCTCGGTCGGAGAGGAGTGCAAGCTGGCCGGCCGCGTCGCGGCAGGAGGGTGGAGCAAGAGATAAGCAGGCGACTGGGATGTCGGGCGTGTCCCCCCACAGGCAGACCTTGGGCGAGAAATCCAGAATGGTCAAACATGGCCAAAGCATGCTCAAACATAGTCAAAGCATCGTCCCCAGGCTATGTTCAAGACATATGTTTTAATATTGTTCCTGTAGAGGGACACGCCCGACTTAAGACTGGGAGGAGGTTGAGGAGTTGGATGAAATAGTCCTACCAGCCCCCTGGGCGTAGGTGGTGTAGAGCGTTGTCACTTTTTCCAACAGCCTTCTTCCCCAAATCCCTCCCCTGTGGTCGGGACAAGGGTGTCGCGACGCGGTGGAGCGTCCAAGATTGCACACGATGGCTCCAAGATTACCCCAGATAGCTCAGGAGTGCCTCCGATGGGGCACAGGAGACCCCAAGATGGCTCCCGATGGCCCCAGTATGGCTCGACGAGGTTCAAAGACTGCCCTGAAGCGGCTCCGCATGGTCACTAATCCTCCCCAAGATACTTCCCAGAAGCCAACGTCAGTCAAAACCAGACGTGTGGTTTGTCTATGTTTTTTTCCGCGGGCACCCTGGTATCATGCATCGTTGCATTGTGAGACCTCAGCGTGTTGGCCAGATACGCGCCAACCGCCAATCAACGCATCAAACGCGCGCTGATCAAGCAACAAGACGAGTATAGTGCGGCAGGCGAGGCTGGCCAGCCAAAATGAGTACTTGGCCAATACACACGCCGGAGCCACGCTACGAATGCGCTGGGCAGGGGGGGGCGCTGGACGATCTTGGACAACGCTATCAAGCACAGGCGCGCGACGGCATCTGAGGAGCTTCTGGGGAGTTCCGCATGCTTCGTCAAGCGTATCTGTTTTTTACAGAGAGACAGTATTCGCCGCCTGTGGACGCCAAATACTAAGCACTGCAATAAGCGCTGCACAATGTGTTCGCCGCCTGTGGACGCTAGCTGCGGCTGTTGCAGTAAGCACTGCACTCACTTACGTAAGTGAAGGAATCAAGGTTGCGGAGAGCCCAGCTCTCCAGAATGAAACAAAACATGCTGGTAGAGGGTAAAGAGGACTCGAAGTGGCGAGGTAGCGGCAGCGTGGTGGCCACCGGGCATGTTGCTGCGTTGTCTGCTCCAAATGTCGCTCCACGGATTGATCATCGCTACTGTTTGAGGTACAGTTGAACCTCATTGGTTGAAATTATTCAGTGCACGCAATGCCGAAGCAATGCTTCGAATTCACAGGGCGTAGAATCGCCTAGAACGCAAAAGCACTTATACAGTTGCGGAAGAAATGTAAGACATAATGTGGGCACGCTCGTGTGCACTCTGAAGAACAATTGTCAATCTCTGACTTGGCAGTGGGTTCCGTGAGATATGGCCGCCAAACTCAGAATGACCCAGTAGACATCTGGAACGCAATTCTTGGAGAGGCAAGGCTAACTGGTATTGGCCGAATCTAACTGGAATCCCCAAGCTTGCCGTCTCCAGACGCCTGGTTGAAATATGCGCGTGACCCCGATGTCACAAAGAGAATTTCGTGTTCTCGAACGCGAGGCGGTCGTCGCAGAAGTCGCGAGGGTCGTGGTCATCCGTGCGCCGAAGCCTCGGCGACGGCGCTGGGGCTGGAGGTCTCTCTGGCGAAGCCGACTCTGTCCGCGGCGAGTGCTGAGCGGGTAGCAACGACGATGGCATCCCGCTCAGTGCACGCATGACCGGCAAAGACATGGTGCTGTTGAGCTCCCTCATCGCAGTCCACTTCTTGGTCATCTGCCGCTGCTTCCGCCGAATTGCCGTCTCGGACTTGTGGCTGTAGTCGGCCGCAGCGACTCGCTGGGCATGAACTCGGGGATATAGGCGATGCGCTCGTCGAAGGACGGAAGCTCATCGCAGGACGAGGCGGCCCCGGTGGACCAGGCACGGGGGGGCTCGGCTGGCTGGACGGCACACAGGCCCTCGGACATGTCCGCCCAGCTGCGACTGCAGGAGCTCGACGTCCAATTGTCCTCGCGGCTGCTGTCGCTCTCGCTGTTGTCTGGCTTGCCCGGGTGCGCCGGCGCGGCGCCCGTCGTCAGGTGCACGGCGTGCAGCATCGGGCACTCCCTGCCCCTCAGGCAGCACCCGCGCTGGTATAGCCTGCAACACCTCGCGCCAAGCTTGGCCATACTACCTCTTCCGCACGGCGAGGCACAGGCCTGCGAGCCTGGCATGCCGTCCCAGGCGATGCTCGGGGAAGAGGCCCCGCGTTCCCAAAGAAGGGAGGCTGAATCCGCATGCGTTCTGGAGCTAGAACGGCCTTGAGCCAAAATGGCTACGGAGTGTGGTTTGTCTATGTTGGGCGTCTCGCAAGTTTGCTTCTGACTGGAATTCGAGGCCTCAAGATGGCTCCAAGATGTGAGGAGCCTAATTCGTGCCTCCCCCTTCGCTCAAAGACAGAATCATTGGACACCTGACGGTGTTTGAACGATGTTGGCCTTTCGGGGGCATCCTTGGGAGGACGTGGGGCCAAGCTCAAATATGGCCCCAGACGCCTCAAGACGATCTCAAAGATGGCGCATGATGGTCAATGTTGGCTCAAGACGGCATCCAACATGCCTCCAGGCGGCCCCAAGATGGCTTAGAGACGTGGCCTCGGAGCCCCAAAGATATCCCTTCGAAGCCCAAATCTATCAAAACCCTCCGGCGTCTCTGTGAGGTTGGCCTTCTCACCGGGTCGATTCGGATGGGCTTCGGAGGCATCACGATGGCTCCGAGATCGCCCAGCAGTGCCCACAGAGCAGCACATAAGAACTCCAAGGCGGCCACAAGAGCGTCCAGTGCGCCCAACAGCGACTCACGTTGGCTCCAAGAGGCGGTGCTTCGGACTCCGACGCGAGGTCCCTAACTATGCCGCCCCAACTGTTCATCGATGTCCTCAAAATGGCCCCAAGAGGGCTCCCGAGGCTCCTCTTGGGGCCCCAAGTAAAGCCCCAGGAGAGCCCAGAGGCCTCCAACACTGCCCAGAAAGGGCCCCCATATGGTCCCATTAAGCTTCCACAAGGCACGCACACATCATCACCACAATCTCCAGATCCTCCGTCGCCATATCTGGACACCACCATAACAATCGCCGAAGGCTCCCGAATGCATGCCGAGGACATCACGAAGAGAAACAAGCGAGAATGCCCGAGCACGTCCGCGGAGACGAGGGCCCCCCCCCGGGAGGCCCAAAGAAGACCAGAGGCGTCAACATCCAAGCGGCGGGTGGGCTGCCCTGAGAAGTTCATCACGACCCTCGCAGTAATACACCCAGTCGGATGAGAAAGTGGCACTGCACTGGTGGAGTGAAAATCTCCTAAGGGGGGAGGGGGGGCACCTCCTGACAGAAAAAGTACCTGACGAGGGACCCAACCGCATGCAGCTGCGAGTACCAGTAGGCTGGCGATGTGATGCGAGGGAGAGGTGCGATCACACTACGAGTGGCGGCCGATATGGCCTCTCGTTATGAGCAGCGTGCCGCAAAGATGTGCAATTCGAGCCATGCGGGCGCTGCCACTGGGACCTTCGGTGGAGCTCCCCGTCGGGCCACGAAGCGTGTGAGGGGTGCGCCGACATGGTGCGCGGCAAGCACGCGGACTTTCCCACTGGGGCCCTCGGGAGAGCTCCCTGTGGGGCAACGCAGCGTCTGCAGGATTTGCCGACATGGGAGCGGGGCCGCCGTGCGGGCACCGCCACCGGGGCCTTCGGTGGAGCTCCCCGTGGGAACACGACAGGGTGCGAGAGGGGTGTGCCAACTTGGGCGCGGAACCGCATGCGAACCCTGCCGACGGGTCCCTGGGTGAAGCCCCCTACGGCCCCATGGGGCCACGAAACGGGTGATGGGGTGCGCCGACATGGGTAAAGGGGCCCCAAGAGACACGCATACATACACACAAATAACATGATCGACCCACGAACCCGGAAAGGAATATAGAAATGTAAGGCATTGCAACATTTCAAAGACACCTGATTGGGCGACGGGCACATGCAATGCTGAATGTATCGATGATGATGTACTGTGCCGAGGGCTGTGCTGTGCTACGCCGTGCTGAACTGCGATGTGCCATGCCGCGATTGTGCTCTATATAGCGTTGTGGATCGAGTCCTCCCTGGCATCCGAGTCCTCACCGAACTGATCTGGAGCGTAAGCTCGAGCTGCCTGAGCAGATGGTAGCTGCCCCAGAACTAATCGACAGAGGGAACATGCCAGGAGGACGCGCCGCGGAACGTCCCAAGGGACGCGCCAGGCGACGTGCCAGGGGACGTGCCATGGGGACGCACCGCGGGACGTGCCAAGGGGACGCGCTACGGAACGTGCCAATGGACGTGCCGAGGGACGTGCCAGTGGACGCGCCGCGCGACGTGCCAGGTGGACTCGCCACGGAACGCGCCAAGGAACGTGCCAAAGTGCATAATTGAGTGTATCGATGATGATGTACTGTGCCGAGGGCTGTGCTGTGCTACGCCGTGCTGAACTGCGATGTGCCATGCCGCGATTGTGCTCTATATAGCGTTGTGGATCGAGTCCTCCCTGGCATCCGAGTCCTCACCGAACTGATCTGGATCGTAAGCTCGAGCTGCCTGAGCAGATGGTAGCTGCCCCAGAACTAATCGACAGAGGGAACATGCCAAGAGGACGCGCCGCGGAACGTCCCAAGGGACGCGCCAGGCGACGTGCCAGGGGACGTGCCATGGGCACGCACCGCGGGACGTGCCAAGGGGACGCGCTACGGAACGTGCCAATGGACGTGCACCGCGCGACGTGCCAGGGGGACTCGCCACGGGACGCTCCGCGGAACGTGCCAGGCAACATGCCAGGCTGCAATGCTAAGGGTATCGATATTGATGTACCGTGCCGAGGGCTGTGCTGTGCCTGGGCGACCTGGACACTTGAAAACACGCGTTTCGCTCAAACCGTTGTCAGCACATCCTCATGCTAGACATCCGCCTGGGCAACCTGGACACGTGCAAACAAGCATCTCGCTCGAGACGTCCTCAACAAATGCGCATGCTAGACATCCGCCTGGGCGACCTGGACACGTGAAAACAAGCCTCTGGTTCGAGACATCCTCAACAAATCCTCATGCTAGACATCTGTCTGGGCCACCTGGAGGCGTGAAACCAAGCGTCTCGCTCGAGACATCCTCAAGACCTGGGCACGTGAAAACAAGCAATCCACTTGAGAGATCCTCAGAATTCAGGTCCCCAGGAGAGGACAATATATAACACAAAACAAGCGTTTCGCTCGAGACATCCTCAACAAATTCTGAACAACAAGCGTTTCGCTCGAGACATCCTCAAAGTTTGATTCGCCGGCCCTACGCGACCTCGTTATTTATCGCAAAAGAAATTCGCTGGCCCTACAGCCGTCAAAAACGGGGGTAAACCTACTAAAAGAGAACCCTGGGCCTACGCCCTTTCCGGGAACATACAACGACTTGAGCTGACGAGCACATAAAAACACATGAACAATAGCAGAGACCAAGTTAGGCGTTGCAGAATAGTACATACGATCACGACCACTAGCTATCATTGGACTGCCATGGAACCTAAAAAGTACCCACAAGGAGCAAGTCTGGAAATGACACATGTCATGTGGATATGCCGTGCCCTCGAGGCACACGTCTGAGCGTCCTCAGCCCCCCTGGAGTCCTCAGCCTTCAATCCCGTGGATTCTTTGCCCAAGCTCCAAATTCCTCACATTTCTCAGGGCGTGTCGCGTGGCTCCCGAGCCAAGGAGGGACCCAATACGGGCCAAGAAACCCCCTAAGAGCGCGCCCAGACCGTCCAAGCGTGCCCCGCATCGCGACATGATCGGTCCGAGACGCTCAAGGGTGGCTCCAAAATGGCCCAAGGAGCCTCCGAGACGCCCCAAGGCAGCCCCAAGAGCCTTCCCAAGAGGACTGCGAGAGGCCAAGACCACTGATTCCCCAACGCCAAGACCACTCGGCTCCCCGACGCTCCAAGACGGCCCAAGAGGCCCCCACGATCGCCCAAAGACGGCCCAAGAGGCCTCCAAGAGGGCTGCAAAATGGCCCAAGAGGGCCGCAAGACGACCCACAAAGCCTCGAAAACGGCCCAAGATGCCCCCAAAACGGCTCCAACAAAAAAAACCCAAACGAAACACCCAAACAGACAATTCAAGCCCTCGCCCCCAAAAAGCCCCCACGAGGCTCCTAATAGGCCCCACGAGGCCTCCAAGAGGCCCCCGGGAAGCCCCAAGAGGCCCCCAAGAGGCCTCCCAGAGGCTCCCAAGGGGCATCCACACTCCACACGGACCCCCGAGGCCCCCAAGAGCCCTCTGAGGGGACCTCAAGACGCATCTCTGAGCAGATTGACCCACAAACCTGGCACGGTGGCGGAATGGGCCGAAGGCAATTCGGTATACATATAGTATACCGACATGTTACCCCAGATGCTGGAAATCATGACAAAGGACTGATGTGTAGCACGTCAGGAAACGCTCAATTGTCAAGCACACGAGCACAAGGCAAAAATGCTTAAACAACCAAACAACACAGTTCCGTGGAAACACATCGAGACAAAACAATAGACTTGGGCACAAAAGAACTTCACATCAAATATTTCACCGTAGGGACGTATACGGAACATGAAGAGAAACTGCAATAACGCTTGATAGTGCAAGCCCTGCCTGCCCTCGTAACCCCATCCCCGGTTGAGAAGTACCGTCACCAATCCACCCGCTCCCACGGTGGGCTACGCGGCAGGAACACAATTAGCCTGACGAAAGACCCAACCATACGTAGTTGTGAATACCGCAATTGTGGAAATATTATTCGGTGGCGCCCCCCGGCCACGAAACGAGTGAGGGATGTGCCGAAAGGGGGGGGGGAACCGCATGCGAGCGCAGCCACTGGGGCGCTCGGTGGAGCTCCCTATGGAGCCACGAAACGTGTGAGGGGTGTGCCAGAATGGGGGGTGGAACCGCATGCGGGCGCAGCCACTGGGGCCTTCGGTGGAGCTCCCTATGGGGCCACGAAACGTGTGAGGGGTGTGCCAGAATGGGGGGTGGAACCGCATGCGGGCGCAGCCACTGGGGCCTTCGGTGGAGCTCCCTATGGGGCCACGAAACGTGTGAGGGGTGTGCCAGAATGGGGGGTGGAACCGCATGCGGGCGCAGCCACTGGGGCCTTCGGTGGAGCTCCCTATGGGGCCACGAAACGTGTGAGGGGTGTGCCAGAATGGGGGGTGGAACCGCATGCGGGCGCAGCCACTGGGGCCTTCGGTGGAGCTCCCTATGGGGCCACGAAACGTGTGAGGGGTGTGCCAGAATGGGGGGTGGAACCGCATGCGGGCGCAGCCACTGGGGCCTTCGGTG